TCAGGTGATCCACCAACCTCAGCCTCCCAAAGAGCTGGGATTACAGGCATGAGCCACCACACCTGGCCCAAAAAATTTTTTAGAAATAGCCGGACATGGTTGTGTGTGCCTGTAATCCCAGCTACCTGGGAGGCTGAGGCAGAGGAATGACTTGAGCCCAGGACTTCAAGCTTACAGTGAGCTGTGATCACACCACTGTGCTCCAGCCTGGGCAACAGAGCAAGATCTTGTCTCTAAAAAAAAAAAAAAAAAAAGAAAGAAAAGAAAAGAAATAAATATTTTAATTGGAATATTTGCCAATACCGATTGTTTTGTCAATAAAGCATTTTTTGGAACAGGATGCATTAAAGTAAATTAATTTATTGATAAAATGTAAATAAAGCACAAACTGCTTGTTTTTTGTTCAAAAATTTTATTTTGTGGAAATTCTTTTCATTGGTATCAATTTAATTTGATTTTTAATTTGAATTTAATTTGAATTTTAATTAAATCAAATTTAATTCGATTTTTTTTTTTTTTTGAGACAGAATCTCACTCTATTGCCTAGGCTGGAGTGCAGTGGCTTGAACTCAGCTCACTGCAACTTCCACCTCCCAGGTTCAAGCAATTCTCCTGCCTCAGCCTCCCCAGTAGCTGGGATTACAGGCATGTGCCACCATGCCTGGCTAATTTTTGTATTTTTAGTAGAGATGGGGTTTCTCCCATGTTGGCCATGCTGGTCTCGAACTCCTGACCTCAGGTGATCCACCGGCCTCAGCCTTCCAAAGTGCTGGGATTACAGGTGTGAGCCACCGTGCCTGGCCTGATTCCATTTTTAAACAAAATTGATTTCTTCATCATCTGTTTGCATTTCCTATTGCAGCCACCGTTTCTACCAAGCCCCAGTCTCTTGGATCGGATTTTACAGATCTAAGTTATTTAAAGAAATTTGGCTTTTCTGTCATTTTAAAATTAATCACCGAGCGCGGTGGTGTGTGCCTGTAGTTCCAGCTACTCGGGAGGCTGAGGTGGGAGGATCGCTTGAGCCCAGGAGTTCTGGGCTGTAGTGCGCTATGCAGATTGGGTGGCCACACTAAGTTCGGCATCAATATGGTGAACTTCCGGGAGCGGGGAACCACCAGGTTGCCTAAGGAAGGGTGAACCGGCCCAGGTCGGAAACGGAGCAGGTCAGAACTCCCATGCTGATCAGTAGTGGGATCGTGCCTGTGAATAGCCACTGCACTCCAGCCTGGGCAACAGAGCAAGACCCCATCTCTTAAAAAAAAATTAATCATAAATTTTATCCAGTGCAGGTTCAGCAGTGGTCAGTTTTATTTTGTGGTGTTGGAAGAGTGATTGTTTCTATGCATTTCTTAGGGAATCCAAGATAAATTTTTGAGCAGTTTTGTGAACTGGAGTTTTTGTGAAAGGAGAAAGGGAGGGGAGAGAGATGGAGGAGAGTGGGGCGAGCACGAGAGGATACGCAGTAAAGCAAGTCAAAATAGGGTTTAAAATGCCCTGCCGAAGTCCTCCACGTATTGAAACCTGGAATGGGACGAGAAGGTCTGGAGAGAACAGAGAACAGGGTTCAAGGTCAAGGCTGCCAGATGTGGCTGCAGGAAAAAGAGGAGGGGGACCCACAAGACCCTTGGAGGGAGCCATCAGAGGGGGAGAAGGAAACCAGGCGCGGGCCCAGGTGCCCGCCCACTCCGGCTTGGGGATGCAGCAGCAGCAGAGCGCCCAGCCGGCTGCCTTCAGGGCAGGGACGGAGAAGATGGGCAGCGAGTGCTTGGCGGTGCTGGGGAGGAGGGGCCCTGGGAAAGGATGGGCACCTGTCTTCTTCCTCAGCTCCAGGCACCGCAGGTGATTCAACTTCCTCTTTGTGCAGGATGATGGCCAGTGTGGGTTTCTGGGGCCAGGTACCCAGGGAGACACTTGCTACCCTACTGTGTTCCACCCCCGCCCACCGTCCACTTGTTCAGTGTGCCTCGTCAAGTGCGCTCATTTAGCAAACAAAAATACAGAATACTCAGGTAAATTGCAACTGTAGATAACCAGTTTTTCTTTTTCTTTCTTTTTTGTGTTTTTTGAGACAAGGTCTTGCTCTGTCACCCAGGCTGGAGTTCAGTGGCACCATCAGGGCAGACTGCATCCTGGACTTTCTGGGTTCAAGCAATGCTCCGGCCTCAGCCTCTGCCCCACTAATTTTTATATTTTTTTTGTAGAGACAAGTTTTCCCCTTGTTACCAGGCTGGTCTCTTTTTTTCTTCTTTCCTTTCTTTCCTTTCCTTCCCTTTTGTCTCTCCCTCCCTCCCTCCCTCCCTTCCTCCCTCTCTCTCCCTCTCTCTCTCTCTCTCTCTCTTTCTTTCTTTCTTTGAGATGGAGTTTCATTGTTCAGGCTGGAGTGCAATGGTGCAATCTCGGCTCACTGCAACCTCCACCTCCCGGGTTCAAGAGATTCTCCTGCCTCAGCCTCCGGAGCAGCTGGGATTACTGGCATGCACCACCACGCCCGGCTCATTTTGTATTTTTTTTTAGTAGAGATGGAGTTTCTCTGTTGGTCAGGCTGGTCTCGAACCTCGAACTCCTGACCGTAAGTGATCTACCGGCCTCAGCCTCCCAAAATGCTGGGATTACAGATGTGAGCCACCACACCTGGCCTCCCAGGCTGGTCTCGAACTTCTGGCCTCAAGCAATCCTCCCATTTCTGCTTCCCAAATTGCTAGGTAATATTATAGGTGAGTCACCACGCCCGGCAACAACCAGTTATTTGTTTATACCATTTTTACACTTAAAAATTTGTTACCGGGCTGGATGCAGTGGCTCACGCCTGTAATCCTAGCACTTTGGGAGGCTGAGGTGTGTGGATCACTTGAGGTCAGGAGTTCAAGACCAGACTGACCAACATGGTGAAACCCAATCTCTTCTAAAACTACAAAAATTAGCCGGGCGGTGGTGGCATGCGCCTGTAATTCAAGCTCTCAGGAGGCTGAGGCAGGAGAATTGCTTGACCCTGGGAGACAGAGGTTGCAGTGAGGCAAGACCGAGTCACTGCATTCCAGCCTAGGCGACAGAGCGAGACTCCATCTAAAAAAAAATTGTTATCTGAAATTCACATTTAACAGGGTGTTCTGCATTTTGTCTGGTAACCTTACTCCTCTTCCAGTTTCCCCTACTCTTCCTCTCAGGCCCACCTGAACTATGCAGCCCACTCCCTGTGGACCCACTGCTGGGCTTACTGGCTGGGGTCCTCCCTGGGTGGAATTCACCTCCATGCCAGTCAGCAGCATTATCATCAGGCCCATGCTCGTCTTTGATCTTGTCATTGATAACCTTCAGGATACATTTGGCATACTTCCAAATTAACCACCGGGGAAGGGGAAGGTCTTAAGACTCAGGTCTTACATACTGTCACAGGAAGAGTAAAGAATCTTCCTGTGAGCCCCTCTGTGAGTTCCTCAAACTATCAACATACTGATTAATACAGAACCTACTGACATTGAAAACGACACCAATCTGTTTCTGAATCCTGAAGCTTTGCTGCTTGTCCTGCATGAGGAACATTTTAGGCTGGATGCATGGCAGCACATGCCTGTAACCCCAGCATTTTGGAAGGCTGAGGTGGGTGGATCGCTTGAGGTCAGGAGTTCGAGACTAGCCTGGCCAAATGCTAAAACCTCATCTCTACCAAAAAAATACAAAAACTAGGTGGATGTGGTGGCTGAGGTGGGAGAATCATTTGAACCTGGGAGGCAGAGGTTGCAGTGAGCTGAGATTGAGATTACACTGAACTCCAGCCTAGGCAACAGAGTGAGACTCTGCCTCAGAAAAAAAAAAAAAAAAAAATTAACCTGCATTTTTTCATCTGCAGCCCCATGTTTTAAAGCTCTATATTGTACCCCCAATGCAATAGGACAACTCCAGTACAAGGAGTTCCCCTCTCTTCTGCTAATGTTCTCATAAAAGCCATTCACCTTGCCGCAGACTCTGGAACAAGCCCAGCTTTCTTGGTGTGACTTCGTTAGTGCATCTTCCTGTGTCAATCCTCACTTGTGGCTTCCAGTAAACCTCTATCAGGTTGTGTCTATCTCAGCAGCCTTAATTTTGGTCAGTATCATAGAAAACTCTGCCCTGGGGAGTGTGAAGCAAAAATGCAAAAAACACGTTTTATTTGATGGTGGTGACATTTTCATTCAGGAATTTTGACTATAAAGACTGGATTTCTGGCAGGGTGCGGCGGCTCTCACCTGTAATCCCAGCACTTTGGGAGGTAGAGGCAGGCAGATCACCTGAGGTCAGAGACCAGCCTGACTAACATGGTGAAGTCCCATCTCTACTAAAATACAGGTGTGGCAGCAGGTGCCTGTAATCGCTGTTACTCAGGAGGCTGAGGCAGGAGAATCACTTGAACCCAGGAGGCAGAGGTTGCAGTGAGCTGAGATTGCGCCATTGCACTCCAGCCTGGGGGACAAGAGCGAGACTTCGTCTAAAAAAACAAAAAGACTGGATTTCTGGCTTCTTCGAGTTGTGGCAGCCCCATGCCCGGTTTTCCACTTGGCCTCATCACCAAAAGCTAAGCATGCCTCTCCTTTTTAGAAAGTTGGGGCTGGGCACGGTGGCTCCCGCCTATAATCCTAGCGCTTTGGGAGGCCAGGGTGGGTGGACCACCTGAGGCCAGGAGTTCAAGACCAGCCTGGCCATCAGGGTGAAACCCCGTCTTTATTTAAAAAAAAAAAAAAAGAAAGTTGGTAGTCTCTGCTTCTCCTTGGCCACCCTATAACCTGTTCTTGTCCTGTGGGAGCTTTTGCTTGACCCACTTCACAGGCTGGGGTCAGATTCCTCAGCTTGACCCTCAAGGCCTTTCCCATTCAGGCAACGTCACCTCTCTGCTGCCTTCCTTCCCTATTCCTTTTCTTCCTTCACCTTCCTCTCCTGGCCCAGGGAACACTGGATGGCTCCATAGTATATGCCATGCCACTGGCCTCCCTGTCTCTGCACTCGCAGGCCCTGTCACCCAACCAGCAATTCTCCTTCCTGTAGTCACATCCTACTAATTCATCCAGGCCCAGACTCCATGCACGTCCCCCAGAGACCCTCTTTTGTCTCCCTGTTGGAAAGTGCTTCCTGCTTCTCTCCTCTGGCCACTCACAAAACCATTGCTATCCCTTATCAGCCCTTTTCTGCATACATACACACACACGCACATACGCACACACACACACATTTACACACATTCACACATGTGCACATACACATATCCCTTACCAGCCCCTTTTCCACACACACACACACACACACACACACACACACACACACACCCCGCTAAGCATCCATTGTGTAGATGCTGGGGAAGCAACTAGGAAAATGACCTTTGGGAGTGTTAAAGAAAAAGTGAGACCAGGCGAAGTGGCTCACACCTGTAATCCCAGCACTTTGGGAGGCCAAAGCAGGAGGATCACTTGAGCCCAGGAGTTCAAGACCAGCCTGACCAACATGGCAAGACCTAGTCTTTACAAAAAATGCAAAAAAATTAGCCAGGCATGGTAGCGCATGCTTGTAGTCTCAGCTACTCAGGAGGCTGAGGTAGGAATATCGTTTGAGCCTGGGAGGTCGATGCTGCAGCGAGCCGTGTTGGTGCCACTGCCCTCCAGCCTAGGTGACAGACAGAGTGAGACTCTGTAGCAAAAAAAAAAAAAAAAAAAGTGATTCAATAATACTTGTTAAAGCACTGTAAAGGCTGGGCACACACAGGATAAAGGCTGGGCTCACGCCTATGATCCCAGCACTTTGGGAGGTGGAGGCGGGCAGATCACCTGAGGTCAGGAGTTCAAGACCAGCCTGGCCAACATGGTGAAACCCCAGCTCCACTAAAGATACAACATTAGCTGGGCATGGTGGCATGTACCTATAATCCTAGCTACTTGGGAGGCTGAGGTAGAGAATTACTTGAACCTGGGAGGCGGAGGCTGCAGAGCCAAGATTGTCCCACTGTACTCTAGCCTGGGCAACACAGTGAGACTCCATCTCAAACAAACAAACAAAAAGGGCATGGTAAGGCAGCCTTTATTCAGGACCATGGAGACAGACACGGGAAGCACTAGAGTGGAACCCTGCAGTCGGGGAGAGAGATCCGGCTCAGCTCTGAATACAGCACAGGAAAGTGGGGGTTGAGAGCCAAGGAGCAGGGTGGGGGCCGGGGGGATGGGAAATTACTAAAAGCAACATCAGGGGTCGGGGATTCCAGCTAAACTGACCTAACAAGATTCTAGCTGAAGATAGGCTAGGGTGACCAGACATTACCTGGGGGCCGGTGGGGACTGAGGAACTTGACCAGATATCAAGGGTGATCAGATTTTGAGGATGGGGGATTACACTACAGTGAGCTAACAGGGTTCTTGCTGAAACTGCATTTTATAAGGAACTACATAGATGGGTCTAGAAGAAGCCTCAGGGGCCTGGGTCAAGAGAGTGTCAGGAGCCTCCAGGTGACTTGTCTACAGAGCTCAGGGGAGGAGAGGTCCCTGACCTGGGCTACCAGGCTAGACTGAGAATAGACTCCTCTATGGAGAAAACATGCAGCAACCTGTAACTTAAAAGAGGGATTTCCAGACTGAGAAAACCGTTAGGTCTCCATATGCAAGCCTGGAACCAGAAGGTCTGAAGTTCTGCCTGCCTTAGCAAATCGTCTCCCACTGCCTGAGGTCGACATTGTCCCTAATTGCCCAGTGGAGCATCCCCGGACAGGTCTCTCACCCCACCCTGCCATCTTCACTGTTCTTATGATAATGTGAAAGCTCCTTGCCCCATCGTGCCATCTTAACTGCTCTTCTGCCTTACCCAACCCGCCATTGTAACTAAGCTTGTGGTCATGTAGGCTCCTTGCCTCTACCCCCCCACCACTGTAACTGATCTGCAACATCCCCCCCCCGGGCAAAATTACCCCAACTTATAAAACAAACTCCCACCCTTACTCCCTGCACCTGTCCTTTCTCGGGTTCGGCCCACTTGCACCCAAGTGAGAAATAAAACAGCCTTGTTGCCCACACAAAGCCTGTTTGGAAGATCTCTTTATTAAATGCATTTAATATTCGGTACTATTGGATGTGAATAACAAAAACAACCAAAGCAATGTCACTGTGCCTGAAGGGGCGTGGCCCACCTGGACCCCAAGGCAGCCTTCCTTCCTGGGAAAGTGGGGAGGGAGCTGAAATCAAGCAGGGGCTGACCACAAACTGTCCTGGAGGCCATGTTCAACTTTTGACTCCAGCGTAATTGGAAAACCAGTGGCGTTTTTTAAGCAAAGAGGTTACACAATAAGTCTGTATTTTGCTAGAATGTAAAACCCATCAGGGCAGGGATTTTGGTCTCTTTTATTTCCGGAACACCTGGTAATAACTGAATAAACAATTGTGTAATGCATGAGTGAGAGAAAGAGTGAATGGGGTGCAGGAACATAGATCACGCTGGCCACAGGGCAGGGACAGACTTCAGTGGGCAGAGTTTGGGAAGGGAGGTCAGGAGGTTGGGATACCAGGAGAGAGTGAGAAAGGCCAGCTAGTGCGGGACAGAGTGGAGGGGACAAGTGGAGAGGTTTAGAGGTGACTTTATAGTGTCCTTCATACTTCAAAAGTCTGGCACAGAGTAGTCACTTGTGGACATTCTAGATCTGATCAAAGGCAGAACCACCTGGCTCTTGACTCCAGCAATGCGATGGCTGGCCTGGAATTTCCTCCCCGGCAACCATGTCGTTCTTACAGCATTTCTTCCCAGTCTACTTAGAGCTTCTTCAGACATTGCCTCATCAGATCCTTATCACAGCCCTGAGAAGGGGGACTCATTAGCTCCATTTTACAGACTCGGAAACAGAGACCAAGAGAGGTTACTGTGACTTCCCTGGGGTAACATACGGGAGACGTGGAATTCAGACCCAGCCACCAGTCGCTGCCTCCAGGGTCCTTTCTGCTTCCTCAGCCAGTTGGAGAGTTATGATTAGCAAATGTGAAAGACAGCACCAGGCAGCATGTGGATTCAGCATGAAATGGGATATTAATAGTGATATTAATAGTAATGAATGGTGCTGATGTTCATCAAGTACTGCTGTGTGTCAGCTTCTACTCCAAGCACTTGACCCGAGTCCCCTCATTCATTCTTCAGACACTCTGAGTTTGATCTGTCGCTCTCCCCGTTTTACACGTAGCCAAGCACATGAGGGACACCGATGTGGGCTGATGCCGTCAGGGGAGGCCTCAGAGAGGACGTAAGATGCGGGTGGGAGAGGAAGAAGGCACGCTGGAGACAGACGTGGCTTCAGCAAAGGTGTGGAGGAGCAGGCAAGAAAGGAGGGGAGAAGCCAGTGGGTGTGTGAGACAGGCCTTGGCCTGCCTGCTCTCCAGGAGGGGCCAGGCCTGGCTGATTGAGGTTTGGCCACAGTAGGTCCCTAGGGCATGTTGATGACAACAGGGTGATAAGGGTGCCCTGGGCTGCGGTGAGGAAGAGGGGCGGAAGAGGGAGACAGCTGGCTTGTCAGGGCAGTGTGGGTTGGTTGGAAGTCCTGTGCTGAAGCTATCCTCCCACCCCAGTCTCCCAAGTAGCTGTAACTACAGGCAGCATGACTACACCCAGCACATATTATTTATTTATTTATTTTTGAGAT